GTCTTTCTTTAAAATTCAAAAGAGTTGACCACAAATTACAATTTCTTCCAAACAGCAAATCTCAAAAATCAATCATCCTTTTAGGAACTAAAATAGGAAGGACATTTAGCGAATTTCCCTGTCCATGTGGTAATCAACAGCCGAGTAAACAAAACACATGAGACTGTTGACAAGGCCGAAAATGTTAGGAACTGGAAGAAAAAATGTCCTAGGAACTACTCCTGGTCATTTGCGAGTAATTCGAAAGGGGACGGAGTCGGTTAAATGAGGACTCCACGATGACCAAACCGACCTCGACCAGATTGTTTACGTTGATGGCAACAGTTTGGAGTCGACGAAAGACTTGTAAACAAGTAATATCCGGTGTAGAGAGTTGCGTTAAGAATAGAAATTAACTGTGAATGAACCTGAAACTAACAATTTTGAAGCTTGGATGATTCAAAATTTCATCGAATACGGTATTTTTAAATATTCAAATAGAACTGCTTGAAGTTTCGATAAATGCACATAAAAATTTCAGCTCGGCTTCATTCTCAGTACAAATCCACGATAGTTCATGGGAATATCGAAGAAAATCTCTTGAAATCTCAAGAAAAAAGTGGAAAACGTAAAAAAAGCGGAATTCGATGAGTTTCGTCCTATCCAAATGAAAATCGTACGACGAGTTGGAGAATTCAGAGCTAATCCAAGAAGAGGGGAAACTAAAGTAATGCCAAGAAGCGCTCTTTCTGTTTGAATCGATGATACACGCCATTACGGTATACCCTCCTTCTTTAGGATCAGAAATCACCATTTCAGGTTTCGAATTCCCAAGTGATACCTGCCTAAAAAGCCCACCATTCAATTTTTTGATGGGAAGGCGAATAAGAATCTAATTCATTTAGGCATGTACCTCCAGTGACTCAGAGAACATACATCCATCAAATACATTTATAATTGCGATTTTATTGAGAACTGAACACGCGTCTGTATCCAGAATTAGGACTGATCAACGGCCAAAAGTTTATTCATCGAATTTCCTGGGTAGGTGAAATCGGGATGAAGTCTTAGTCTTTGGGCGTTGATTTGGCTTGAGGCCTATATAATGACTTGCCATAGCCAGACGATAAACATGTCACTGCTTTTATCCTCACAGACGAGTCTGGTAACAATTAAATGACTCCGAAGGAACGTAAGGCCTGGCCCAAGCGCCTATCGGTCCAGTATTCAAACCCATGATCATCCTCCGAATCGGGATACATAGAGTGAAAAAAAATCGAAATCGAGGAATAAGTGAGTCCAAAAGTTGACTTTGCTTCCCTTCGATTTTGGAACTCGAGGACTACGTCCCGGGGAAATAAGTGCGACAGCCTTCAACGAAAGGACGATAAGGCATCGGAAGAGGACACCAAGTCTGTTCTTTCCTTCTCCTGTATCGTTTTTCTTTTCGAATGTTCGAATCATTTTTCGAGAACAGAAGATTTCCGGGCTCTCAGAAAACCCTTTGACGAGAGCAATTTTCATGGACAATTCGATCGCTTTTTGGTTTCTGATGCTGTTGACATGGGAACATTCAGTCTCTTCGGCATATGTGCCGCTCACCGTCATGCCCTCCCTTCATCGTACTCTTTCACCCAACATCTTCGTCCAAGTGTTGATTAATAGGGATGCACCGGAGTACCCTCGGCCAGCTAACGGTACAACTGTTGGACAGTCAGGTACCATCAATGGCTCTGAAACTTACCTGGCCGGAGGCGTCTCGACCGATGGTCAGACCCTTGCATTGCATTTCAGCTTGGGTTGGTCTGTGTCGGATTGAGGTTCGCTAACAGTTAAGTTTTCGTGTGGGGTACTGCGTTACCGCGTCGCTACAGTTATGGGTATGCTGTGTATACTGTAGGTAAACAGAAACGAAAATTCAATACAGCAGCTAGTCGTTACAGAATTTGTCGTAAAATGAAATGTATTGAACGCAAAATTTCACGAACATCATATTTCCTTCACGGCGTAACCTTCTTTGAATACAAAAATCCTCACCCGTCACATATACGGTGCATCGAAAGGGTAGCATGGCGTCACGTGCACGCGTTCGAGTCAGGACCCATAGCTGGATTTACTGTAAGACTAACGTGCCGCACCGAATTTTCGTTTTGTTGTATGCTGTGGGTAGTCTTTGTTCTGATAAGTCCTCATAGATCCAATCTTTATGGATCAACTCGAGTTCGGTTCCTCTCCCTATCTCAAGTATGCTAAAACCCTTAAAGCTCATCCTATAGGTTGCTTTCATAGTCCGCGATTTGGCCCGCGCGTTCGCTCGCTCCCAGACTATGAAAGCAGCCGTAGTGCTCGTTGGTAGGGGCATGCCGGGTTTCTGTTGTGTTATCGGTTTCAGTCACCTCCTCCAGGGAGTCATTTACCATTGTACTCTAATACCATACAGATTTGCTTCTCCTGATTTAATTTCGTTGGAGGAAACTCCGTTGTTTCCCAGAAACTCCGTTTTACACTGTAATACTCTCCGTCAGTTTGCTACTGTAGCAAAGTTTTGACGTAGAGTGGGGTGTTTTGTCCGTGATACTGCATCTACGGGTTGTCCATGCTGTTCTACGTCTAAAGATTTCAGTTAGTGAATTAGATTTTTGTTATTGTTTAATTAACCCTATGGAGAGGTGTGGGCCAGTTTTGCGGCGCAGTTTTCGGGGGAGCGCAGAGAAGCAGGGTGATATCTTGGTGTTGCGAGAGTGTGCACTGATCCGAGAGACACAAAGACGTTATCAGTCCCCTAGTACGCCGACCTCCCACGATTTTCTTATTGGCCTTGTCATTACCTTCTTATCTGGGAAATTAATTTTTCCGCTTATTCAGCTGTTGTCTATGATTAGTCATCGCATGGGTTGATTACGGCCTCTCTCCCGAGCAAACGTCCCCGCACACACATTCACCGCTCTTTGCCGATATCGATTCGATCCCTATAGAGTAGGCCAACACAGGCCCTCGCTTTCACATTCCTATGATTTTTCTTTTTGATTGAGGCCTTTATTCAAACATTCCGAAGAAATTTAATTTAGTCCTGAATCCCTTGATCTGCACCACAGGTAGCACTTTTTTACTGCAATACTTTATTCGATTTCAATTTTTTGCTTTTATAACTAACTATCCCGTTATCTTTTTTGCTCTTTTCTTTTGATACTTTATGATTCACTGTGATTCACTTCGCAAGAGATTTAATTTGTGTAATAGTTGTAGTTTTGGGGGATAAATTCATTTGTTGACTTGATTTTCAGGGTCAGGCTGTTTATAAGTGCTTTCCCCACATTCTATCCGGTCTGACATTATTTTAGGACGTTTCCACCCCATTAAAAATGCGTAGAAACCGGCCGTTATGTTTATTTTTTGATTTGAGAAGTGATGTTTTTATTTTTCTTGACTTGTAAACAGATCACCTCAATTTAATGATGGATCTGTTAACGATTATTTGGATTTTGAAAATTTGCATCTTTCCATGCTTTAGCTTTGCGACTTTCACAGACATTCATAAATGTAGTGACAAATGATAAATACGCAGAGTCAACTCTTTCAGTATTAGTTTTATTCTTGTATATTTTTTTAAAATAATATTGCACTTGTCTTGTGTCTGTCTTGTGTCTAGAGAACTGTACAAATTGAAGGAAACACCGTAGCATTTAAATGAGTTTCTGCTCTTCAAAAAACTGTGAGTTCATTTTCCCAATCACTTTCCCAAATGAATATTTGTTGTCTCTGACAACGAACCAGTTTTGCAACCGAGGGTTTAATCAATTCAGAGTTTTTTACGGCTAACTGGAACCGGTTCTCCCCTTTTGTTACATTGGTTTCTTTCTTTCATTATAATGCTCTATTGAAAATGTTTCCAAGTGATTCACTGATCGAAATTTGTTTGGAATTCTTCGACCACCTTCCATCATTGGTTGAGGTGACGAATTGGGAAAATCTCAACAATGGAAACGTTTCCAACATGGGAAATATGTTTTAAATGGGAGCTACCAATTGTTGGGAAGAGGTAGGCAGTTACGTCTACGTTGTTTGCCGATGCATAATTTCGAAAAAAAAGTAGATAGTACGTTGAATCACGAGATTTTTTTGTTATCTCTCATCGCCAAAGTAGTTGTACATCAAAATGGTGTTCCGAGCCATATAAATGACCTTGTAGTGCAATATCAGTCGGATTTTTTACTTTTCATTTCATTTATATCTCTATTCAAACTCTAGTTTTAATCAGGATCCCTTAGGAGGGAGCAAATTTCATTACGGCAATTCCAAAGACAGTTTCTTAGATTCCGGAAAATCTCTGTGTTGGAAATCGAACATGGGGAAGATCCGATTCAGGAAATTCGTTACAGAAATCTTTATGGTTGTATTTGAATCAATACTTTTTGCATTTTTTTTTATTCCTACTAACTTTATCTGTTGCGGGTTGCTGTGATTTGTACTGCTTTATCTATGTTGCCGATTTCTGTGATTTGTACTGGACATTATCGAGTTAAATCCATTTACTTGTTGTTGTTTCCTCCACTTACTGTAATTGATTTCCCTTTTCTCTGAGAGTTATTTTTTTTTGTTATTCAATGATTGTATTGGGCACATTACAAAGTGAGTTTGCCCCAAAAACGCGGCACTAATCTAGTGAGAGTAACCTGGAGTCGAAACGGGTAATGTCTGGAAAGAGTGGTATTCCCGTTGCATGGTAATTGAACAGAAAGAACAGCGCTCCACAGTCACATTTCGTCGGAGTTCATCGTCCATTTCTGGTTATGACCTGTAGTTCATCGCGCATTTCTTTCCTCGAGCAGTCTTCCTTCTTGTTAGATCTAAAAAGGTCGACATCGGCAGATTTGTTGACTGATGTGTAGTCGGAAGCATTCGTATTGGTGCCTCTTGCTTTTATGTCATTTCTCATATTTCATCCGTTCTACAAACTCGTTCGCTTTTATAATTATTCATTTCTGAATGTGTGGATACGAACATTCTCATTTATTTTAGCCATGAACGAGGAAGGTGGTTATCTCGGTGCAATGACTTATCAATGCTTATACAGTGGAATCCTTGACAAACTTCGGTCTTCAAAAAAAGATGATGATCGTGCACTTGCGGCAATTCATGTTAGTTTGATATAGATAGAAAGTCATTTTCTTAACTTTTTTTGCTTTCAAGCTTTCCTATGAGTTTAAAGAACTATTCCAAATAGGTATAGCGATATATGGACATATCGTTTAGACTTGGGCTGGACTCAAAACCCATACTTGTGCTCAGAATTTGCAAATACAGGTCTAGTCCGAATTCCGCTTTTGCCCATAATTCGCCCTTCTTGTGGAGCTTTCGCACTGTGTACTGCTGCAGAAGCGGTATTCCCAAAAAAATCAGGAACCATCTCCGCAGTTTCTCTTCGAACAGGGTCACTGCTTAGACATCTGAGGGATTAGTAAGACAATTCCTAAGAGTTTTAAAGCAAAATATCCACTAAAAGTTATCAAGTAGGAACATCAGGTTCAACTTGCTCCGATTAGGGGTACCTACTCCCCTAATCGGAGCAAGTTATACATGATGTTCCTACTTGATAACTTTTTCTTCTTTCACTAAATGGTTTTTTTTATAAATCTTGTTAATTGGAAGTGGAAATGGTACCTGTTATGGCCACAATTGTATTAGGCCCTAGAAATGAAATTTCAAGCGAGAGTACATCGGACCGAAAGCATGGTGATGTAGTCATTATTCCTTGCATTCACTTTCTGGTTGTCGAGCGATGGTATCAGTTTGGCAGGCTCTGAAACTTTAAGACTGCACTACTCATTATGTTTCAATCTTTTTTGATGATGATTTGCGGTACTCTTTAGAAAGTTGTCTAACAAGTGCAGGAACGGTGGAAGTATAATGTACTTACTTTTTGAATATCTCCTACTCAGAACATGATGGGGTTGCAATTGATTTTCTTATGTTTCACTCATGCTGGTCTTTTATATTTGCACTATGTTGTGTTCAGCGCCTTCGAAGTGCAATGAGGACGTCAGAAAGTGTGTCACCGTCTTTCTTATTCGACTTTACCAAGATTCTGTTGGCCGAATCGGAGCTTAATATCAATCTTCAGGTTAGTTTCGTTCCGTTTTAGTTAAAAATATTTTATAAAAAATTTCTCACTACGTTGTACAAGCTTGGGAGCGACAAATACCAAAACAAAACCTTTTAGAAGTGATGGATAAGGAATACTCTTCATTGTTTCTCGTTTGGGTTGCTATTTTACCCTTTTTTCTTTGGTTAAGTAAATAAAATTTAGTTTTGCGTTCTCATCAAAATTTCAAAATACTCGTAATTATTCACTTTTTTCTTTTTTTGATTTTCATCATCCTCTGAAGGATTACAGGAAGCGTATCTTCGAATGCATGACACATCTCCTACAGACGATTTAGTGGTACAGGGTCACGAACACGTTCCTGAGTACAAGGAGTTGACAAAACGGTGAGTTTTTATTCCATTGATTCAGAATCGAAGCCTATTATGCTCTAACGCTCATAGATAGGCTAGCTGTCGGGAGACACATTTAGGAGCATTTCATTGAGTACCACATTGGTGGCAGGACATGCCATTACCTTTTTTTNTTTTTTTGGGAGACTTAGCGGCAGAGTTTCATTAAATGCCAGGTTTTTTGATGTAGAACCGAAAGATTTAGAAATTTATTTTAGTTGTGTAAACTAGTTGGCGGTCCAAAGAAGCTTCGAATTCTCATATAGTGAGCTAGCGCAAGGAGTGAAGCGTGCATTGACACCGTTCTTGTATTACATGGGAACTTTCCAAGTTTCATCGTAGAAACAGCAAGTACAGTAAATCACACACCCATATCTATACAGTAAAAACCGATCAGTTTGTTCCCAAAAGAACGACGCTTGAGGCGTTGCTCTGGCGCAGACAAGTAGTTTATCGTACGACATTGACGTTCTTTGGCTGAACTAATGTTATGGAAAAGCCATTCCTCACTTTCTCCCATGAAAGAATCATGAAAGCTCCTAAAATGGAAATCAGTGAATAAAGCACAACACTAATCGTGATACTCAGACCATGACAGCCCTTTATTAAAGGTTTGTTTTCAGTGCCATTGAATTGCGACGTGTTTTGTCTCGGGTGCCGGAAGAAATGGCTGATCGTCATCAGTTTCTTGAAACGATAAAACTAATTGCTTCATCTATCAAAAAGCTGTTAGAAGCTATCAATGCTGTCCATCAAATAGTTCCTCAGTCAGCGCAGCAAGGTTATCTTTCATTTTATTTGCCATTGATAATTCCTGTTCATCAAGAAAATTCTTGGATTCCAAGGGTTTCTGTCTACGTTTTATTTTTAGCAGTGGAAAAACGAAAACGGGAATTTGTGCATTATTCCAAGAGGTTCAGCAACACCCTCAAGACATATTTCAAGGATCAAAACGCAGTTCAGGTTAGTTTTAGATCCGTTCTGAGTTTTTTTCCATTTTGACTTCCCTTTTGAAAGCTTTAGGGTGTCTTTGTTTCTCGGTTTCTAGTACACTACCCATATTACATCCGCAATCTCTCATTGCCTTTGTGGTGGGTTGAGAGATTTAAAGGGACCTACTGTTCGTAAAGTATAATTGATCACTTAAATCGTACTTGTTCTCTATAATATGCACGGAAAACGGAGGTTCTATGCAGGAAAAATTGGGTTGAAGAGAGGGGTAGGAGGAGTGAAGTGGTGTTCAGTAGATAACGTTTGTGATACCAGTAATCTTTTGTTTTCCAATATTTTTCATTTTTGTCATTTTTACCATCTTTTCATCTTTTCTCATGTCATTTTTCTCATGATCATATTAGTTTTCACCTTCCCTCGTAAAGTTCTGCCTTAAATCGATTTTTTTAGGTCTCAGTTTCTGCTAATCAATTGGTGTTCCAAACTTCTTTGATCATCAAAACAGTGAACGAGAAGTTGAGAAGATAAGTTATGAACCTAAATTGCTGTTATTCTGATCTTTCGTGATATCATTCTCTTTTTAGCGTTTTTTAGCTTTAAGTGTATTGATAATTATGCTTTTACGCCTATGTTGTACCGTATGACCTTCCTTCATCCACGGTGTAACCTCTCACCAACATCCATTGCTCATTGTTTGTATATTCACTTACAATATTGTGGACAATTCTGTATTCTGTATAGCTTACCGACCTTTTTGTTTTTGTTATTCTTTGAGATAGTCATATAAAAATGTATGTTATAGTGAGTTATTTTTGGTTAGTAACGCTTTGATTGCGACTCAATCTAGTCAGTTACTGTGCGGCCTACAGGGCCGATTGCCATGCACTGCATCACAATTTAACGTTGACATTCGTTAGAGAAGGGAAGGAGCGTCTGACGTTCTGCAAGACTTTCCTCGAACTCCCTCCAGATAGTTCACTTAATGGCATAGTTTGCGATAAAAATGGTTTCTAAGATTCTCTTAGGATGAATTTGAGGCCACGCGTATACCATATCTGGCACTATTAGGTTGGAAGCCGGCCTAGTTAGGGAGTTATAAAGGCTCAAATATTAATCCATGTGTATCCTCGGACGAGTTTCGCCGGCATTGTAGAGGCTGCACCGATCACAAGGAAACCCATGTAGGAAGTTCAAACAACTTGTCATGNCCCATAGCGACAGTGAAAGACTGCTTTGTACAGCTCTGGTTCGATGTTTTCAGCTCTTTGCGCTGTTGCAATGACTGAAATCTCGTCCAAATACCCCTTCCATGTTGTTTCCATCATGGCAATCTCGTCCAACCTCTATTTTTCCTACTTTTGAAAAGCCATGTTTTTCTCGAAGTAAGCGAATTCTCTCGCTTTTTCCACTACCGATGAACTGTTCTCAATCTGTGTGCTCAATCCTAGTGCTGCTGCTCTTTTCTCGATTGACGTTCCTAAAGACGTTGCTCATCAAAGTCGGCAACTGAGAAAAACCCTTCTCATCGCAGAAAAATGACAAGAAGAAGTTGGACATTGAGCCAGCTTGAAATTCGGAAGAAAACTAAACATACAGAAACAACGGCGATTAGGGGACAACTGAATTGGCTGGAAGAAACGGGTAGGAAAAGCCGACTTGGAATCATTCTTTGAGTTTTTCTTATAATTTTTTGACTACTACGTTTCGCTTTGTCACCACAAACATTTGCACTTCCCATTACCGGTTCCCACCATTTTTTCTTCAATATTGGCCTTTTCAACGGTTTTCAGCAGTTTTATCTACTTCGTGAATTTCGTCAATCCTCAGCTTCTTCATCAATTTTTCGATCTTTCACCAATGCTCGCCTCTTCCACACGTTTTCCTACTTTACCTTTCCGATTTTAGACTTTTTAACCGATTTTTGCGACCACATTTCGACTTTAGTCGGTTGGCTTCAGCAGGTTCCATCACTGTGAGCCCTATTTCTTCAAATTTTCACTATTATTTTCAGCTTTTCCTCCAAGGTTCAGCATTTCTCCTAGGGTCTCATGTCCTGCTTCACCTCAATTTTTTTTCGAAAATGCAGCATTTACCCCCAAAAGAACCTCAAACCCGGCTTCACTCGGTGCTGGATGCCTCTGCGGCCCAAATTCACCTGGAGCTTATCCGAAGTGGGCTGGAGGTGTCGGGCACCCGCCGGCCAGCAGTGAACGTTGAGAGCCTGGGAGTTGATTATATCCGGTTTTACCAGTGAAATACCATCGAACCTTCCACTCACTACGGCAGTTTATGAATAAAGCACATGCATGGCGGAATGCTGAACTTTTGGTTAGGCTTTTTTGATGGTGTCAGCTTGCAGCTCTTGGTGAGACAGTGTAGAATATTACAAGCTAACTTCTCTTCGTTTTTAAAGGCACCGTTTTCGAAAAATTTAGGGCACCTTTTTTGACGGAAATTCATAAAACTACTCTAGAATAAAGCGATAACAACGAAAAAAGCGCAAAAAACGATGAACAAAAAGAAATAGAAAGGGTCAAAAAAGAGCTGGAAAGAGGGGGAGCGGACGAGTTCACATTGGAAGAACGGGGGTTAAGGGAGTGTTTGGGCGAGTGCACGAAGGCGACGTAATGTCTGCAATAGCAGACAACACACCCAATTTCCCTGACAATTTAACTGGCAGACTCTGGCAATTTGCCAACCACCTTATCGATTTTTCACCTACTTCGCTCCAATGCGAAAGTGGTGAACGGCAATTAGATTTCGTAGTCAGGCTAGCGAGGGGCGGAGGGTGACCGTGGCTCACTCTCCGGCCCCTTATTGTGCCCTATCCAGACCGTTTCCGACCTTATTCCTGCACAAATGGTATCAGAGGGGGCGTCGGATTCATACCATGTGCAAATCTCCGAAACCAATTTTTCGTTTTTTCGTGAACAGTGCCTTTAAAGGCACAATCCACGATAAAAGTAGTCCCTACGATTTCCTCACAGGACTACCAGTGGCCCCCAAAGTAGCACAAAGGACGCTGTCGGAACGAAAAACCCCTATAGATACGGCATAATATGATCCCCATTACCGGACCCATCGACGTCCACGCCCATCGACCGATGATATGTCAGACGAGTGACGAGGCGATACGAGTTGCACTATTCGCACTAAGATCCACAAGTTCAGCATGAAATCAGCTGGTCGCCGTGTGGTGAGGGGAGACGGGGAGTAAAAACGGTTTTCTTTAATCGATTTTCTGCACGCGGCTGTCGCGGACCATTCCTTCGCCGTTATTACAGCTCTAGCGTTCCTCGTACGCTCAATCGATATGCGATCCTTATTTTGGGCATGATTCTACTGTTAGTTCTTTATCCTGCATTACGTACGTGTTACATTCTGCTGTGTTCCTTCGCGCGGCGTCCCCTTTACCGCAACGCGACAATTTCATTCCTGCTGCACCACACCTAGTGGCAAGGGGGACGTTTTACTGTAACTCTGTTATTCTTTTTACTTAACGGCAGCAAGAGACATTTTTGCATACTGTAGTCAGCTGTACGCAATGACGCAATGGCACTTATTGAATAGCTCGTCCAAACACCCCATTTACGTCATTTTTTGATCTTATTCTCGTCCACCTCCATTTTTAACGACCATTTAAAGCCTGTTATTCCTTTAGGAATACCGATTCTCGTGCTTTCTTCGTCTCCATCGCACCATTCTTACATTCTCTTTCATTTTTCGTCAGTTCCTGGATAACCCAGAACTATCGTGAACTATGCCTTTAAACATGTAAATACCACCGTACCTTGCAATCAGTTTTGCAATTTTTGACAAAAACAGAAGCATGGCGCAATTCCGAGTTCTCTGATCTAAACCCTCTTTGGTGGAAACAGCTCGTTGCTCGTGATGACTACATCTTATCACCATCATACATCACGTAAGTTGACTAACTTTCGATTTTAACGATTTTTGATGGTTCCGATCTGTCTATTTAGGGAGCTCGAATTGTATTCCTTGATTTTCTATTGCTTTGAAGTTTCCATTTTCATTCAAATAAATGTTAATTATGGTGTCTTCAGTTTTCAAACGAACATCTTGGTGACGACCTAGAGGTACCATCCAAAAATGTTTAGTGGAATTGTTTTAATAAACATTCAAGGGAAATTACTCAAATGGAGCTCACTTCAAGCTCGAACCGAACTAACTTCCTTAAAAGAAAGTAAACATCAAAGCCATTGGCTTCAATTCCCCAAAGCTGAAACGTTGTCAGTTCCTCGACAACCACGTTCTCCTCTTGCGTCCACACACGAAAAATAGCTTTCTTTCCTGGTCCTGAGTTTTCTCACGGATGCACTCTGTACACCTCGTGCGGAGACCGAGAGCTGGTGGTCCTCGAAAATGGCCTAATACGAACGCCATGCTGTGTCTACACGCAATGATAGATATTCTCATTAGCTCAGTTGATTGGCATTCACACATAGAGCACGAAGTGGACGGTTCAGATCCAACCAAAAAAGTTCAGAGGGATCCAGTTTTTGCTAGAAGTGCAATTTCGAAGTCTGAAATACAACAAGAAAACAATGGCGGAAATCGCAAGATGGAACGAGGGGAAATTCCAATCTCTTCTCATTCAGGTGGTCCCAGCAAATCAATCGCGTTGCCAATACATGCCCTCACAAGGCAGCCAATTGATCTGCCATCCAATGACCACACATCGTACGTACCCCTCGACAATCTGTAGCCACCACCCTCCTTGCAGCCTTCTTTTCTTTGCCCCCTCCATTCAACAGACCGCCTGACTAGAAAAGTAGTACAAAATACGGTACACCTAGTAGTAGAGTGATGAAGAGGTTATTGCTGCGTGGGTGGTAAACGAGTTTCCCCGGTATAGACCGAGCAAACGATAAGTCAACCCAGCCTCCGCTGTTCTGGCACCGGGTGAAACTTGTGTACTAGCCCCGGCTGAAGCTTTGGCACTGTGTGAAGCTAGGCCCGCAGTTTACTTTGGAAAAGAGCTTTTACGAGGAGAAGCAGAACAATGGCAAGGGAGAGCGAAAAATGTTAAGATTTTGAGCTCATGGAAGCCGTATGGTGTCATTTGATAAAACAGAAATCCGCAAAACCGAAATCGATGACAGGTACACCGAGGAGCACAGCTTGATATTCTGCAACCCCTCCTCCACAGCTTTTTTTTTCTTTGTGACCTCTCCCCAAGAAAACCTCTCAC